ATATCAATTAATTACTCCCATTTTGCAGATAAGCAAACAAAAGAATAAAAAAAAAAGTGAAGCATTCTGGTCTAAATTAATGGAAGGGAAATCAGAGCCCAAACCCAGTCCTTGACCTGGGTCCAGAATAATCAAAGGCACTGGGGAGGGGACCTTGGCACCCCCAGCCCTTCAACTCATCGAGGATGCACAGGCAGCATTGAGATATTTATTTCACTTGTGCCCTCATGCTAAAGCTGGAGGGATTAGAAATGCTACAGTACAAGCCAGCTTCTTATTAGTCAAGAGACAGTTTTAGCCCAGCTGCCCCAAATGCAGCTACCCCAGAGGCATCAGCACCTCTTCACCATGCTCACAGGGGAGACATGATCCAAACCAGGCTGTACCAAAGATTAGGTGACCATGACCAGCAAGAACACAGGCACTGACACATCCCTTCTGTCCAGAAACAAAAGCATTCAGCTCTGGATTCTTCTGACCTCTAACCAGAGTGCATTCAGTCAAACAACCCTGCCAGAATTAACAGGGAAAAGGGAGGGGAAAGGAATAAAAAAAGACTTTGTCGAGCAAAAGTACTCTTAGACACATTTGATGTAATAGTCATATGATTAACAAACTGTCATATCAAAGTTTTCTGCAAAGTAGGAACACTCTGACAGTTCATATTTTAAAAACTGACATTTTGATTCATTACTGTAAATAGCACTCTGTATTAAATATTGTGACAAGGCATACAGTGTATTTTTGAGCTCTATAACATTTAGGAAGTACTGATTTTTTTTAGCTTTTTTTTTTTTTTAAGCACGTATAATATCAAAAGCAGTTAAAGCAGAACTCCAAGAAAGCTTCTAGAGGAGAGAATCATGATTTCTGAAATAACCTACTTCTCTGCCGTCATCTCAAGCACTGTTGGGAACTTAGGCCCACAGGAATCTTAATGTACTGTTTGCATAATAAAATAGGGAATTGTTTCACAGAACAAAAGAGCAATAAGGAAAGTGACTACATTAAATAATGTAAAATTACTCACTAGCAAATCATCCTGAAGCTGGCATAAGAGGGAGAGCACTAAAAGGTGCCGAATTACCACTCAGAATATCCAAGTGCTGGTTCATAACCGAGATGAACAACGCAACATCCAAATGACTGCCCAAATGTGCAACTTGCTTATCCCCTCAGTCTTCAGCCATGTGTTTTTCCCTCTTCTGCAGCCCAGCATGGCCATGCCCATCCCAGACAGAGGCAGCACTGCCTCACCACTGGGGTGGGTAGGAAGGGCTACCAAGGACATCATGGACAGGGGTCCACAGCAGGGTAGCTCCCACTGCAGGGATGCTGTGAGCCACCAGAGCCCACCAGCCAAGACAACTTGCTCCTCTTACAGCTCCCTGCTTATGGATCCCTCTCCCTGGATCACCAGTATCAGGGCAAATAGGACTGGGACCAGAAACAATACCGCCAATATTCTGCATTTCCTGAAAAGCAAACCACTCGGAGGAGAAATTAAAAATAACAGCCCAAGCTAACACAAAGATCTTGCTGAGGAAAACCAGAAGCTGCCTAGATGTTTGCAAGAAGCTCAGGTGTTAAGAGGACTGCAGTCCAGTGCTTTGGAAAGGAAAATGGTTACCATTATCATTGCTTGCAGCCAGCTGCAAGTGGAGCTCTGGGCTCAGTCTCCTGACAGAATGGATACACTGCCATAAACATGAGACCGGAGCCTACCCCAGGACATGATGAGGCTGTCACGCATCCCAAAGATGGATCACAGCACTGTTTCAGCAGAGGCTTGATCCAGCACAGCCTGCCTTTCCCCAGGAGCAGCTATACAGCCCTCACATGCTGGAAATCTTGTGGATGTGTCTGCATGCCAGCAAGTTTGGTAGTAGTAGTGGTCTAGCCAGACATCCAAAACATATTGGCACCACTATAATTTGTCCATTCACCAATATGTTTTCCTAAAAACGCCCATATGCTTTTCCTGCAGCTCCCATATGCTTTTGCAAAGAGAAACAAAAACATTTTGTTAGTCGCGAGCGATTGATCGCCACATATTTCACAGAAGTCAAGTAGAAAAACAAAAACAACAACAAAAAAGCAGTCAGCTGCTTCCCCCTCCTTCTCCTCCTCCTCTCTGTTCACGGAGGGAACTGTGAAGAGCAGGAAAAAATTCAGCCCACAGCAAAATACACACACCGCTCCTTTTTTTTTGCACTGCAAGATATTCTAGGAATTACAGGAGGAATCTTCATTAAAAACAAGCTATCAAGGATCTGGCAGCCAGTGGCATTCCAGCCAGTAATTCAGCATCGGGTGCTCGGTGCTCACTCGAGTCCTCGCCACAGGCAGCGCAGCCCACAGGAATCCACAGCTCCTGGAGGCACACTTTAACCAAGCCAGGGGCTGGGAGGACAGGGTGGTAAAGAGGTTACAGCCCTTCCAATTCACAGGACAGCTCATGTCAGGCCAAGTCTACCTCTCTGTGCAGTATAAAGCCCTCTCTCACACGCAGGGCTTCCCAGGGAGGTGCTGCCTTGCCAACGCAAATCCCAAAAAGCAGCGGGCGGGCAGGGGAGCGGGCAGGCCCGGTTCAGCTGGGAGCAGGCATGTGGGTGTACAAGTATGTGTGTGTCAAGGCTGGAGCATGTGGGAACCGTAGCTGTTTAGTTAAAGACTCATTAAGAAACAGCAGACCCAGGGCCAATGTTCAAAGAGGAGCAGCGCAAAACATTTCTCTGGAGAAAGATTAGCGTGTGTTCTTCTTTACACAAATAAAATTAAAGGGAGACTCATAATATAGACAAATCAATTAACTTCTGAAAAGCCAAGGGCACTGCATGCAAGAGCAGACAAGGGGAAAAGCTTTGTTACAGGGCCACCAAGGCAGTGCATAGGCTTTCTTCCCTAGAAAATAAAGTCAGCTATTGCTGCATGAAGTTCTGATGTTAGTCCCAGCTGCATCACGCTCATTGTTGCAGGGACACAGCTGCTTCCTTCCCAACACAGCCATACACATACCTATGTATCACTATAACCTTATGCACCTAGGGCTGGGGATCATCTCTTGGTGCCAGAGACTGGAAAACACCTGAGGCCAGAGGTTAAAAGACTACAGGAGTGCTTAAAGCAACAGTTCCAGCCTAAAAAGAAAGAGTCTGAAGCTGACTTTCTATATAGGATACCCAGAACAGTACACACCCTTCTATCAAAATAAAACTTTCTGTGATACAGTCCCATCACAGTTCTACAGTTCTCCAGCTCTACAGTTCACCCACAAATTTAACCAGGCATTCTCCTTGCAAAGCTGGTGTTGTCTTGCAATGATCTAATCTCACACTAAACCTAATGAGAGACAGGTCAAGAGCCCAATTTTTCACAGAAATGAAGCTGAAAACCCAGTCAAGAGAAGAGAAATCAAGCTCTTGCACAGGACACAGAGTAAAAAACCAATTTGTCAGACACAGCTTGCTTTGGAAGATACATTTTATGATATGTTTTTGTCTTGAGAGGAGTTGTAAGCACCTGAAAATCTGACTTCACCACTCACAGATGCATTGATGTTGTTGCTCAAGTGCTGACTAGAAAGCAAAACTAATACTGTCTCATTTAGTTAACATGAGGACATATTTAGTTAATATAACAATGGGCATCTTCCTAGATTTCATATTCACAGCAACCCACTGGGATGGTTTATTAAACTTAGTCAGGAAAGCTACCACAGAAAGAGTGAGACTGGCAGAAGGGCTACCATTAATCTTCCATAGCCCAGCAACTGGGAAGATCAGGCCTTGAACCAGATTCTACGCTCTTGCTATTAATCTCCTGTCCTCTACTTATTAATCCCTGGTCTGTCTTTGTCTGTCAACATTTATTAATGGCCCCAACAGTTTGCAGTAAAAAGGATACTGAAATCTCATCTCCAGCTAGACATAATTTATCCACAAAAAAAAAAAAATAACAAAAAGCCCCAAACAAACAAAAAAACCACCAAAAAATTAGACTCAAGAGGAGGGTAAAGGCAGAAAGTAGGGATGTATATTGTATCAAAACAGAAGAATGAAAGTGCAATTAAATTCAGTGACACAACAGAGTGAAGATTCACTGTTCCTGATTTTGGCCTGCCACACAGACATCTCATGGTCCTTAAGTCAGGTAACATCACAACAAACAAAGAAGCTTCATTGGTCAAAACCACCAGGGTAGTTGGTCACTCATTCTGCACTTTTCAGCAGGGCTGCACAAGCTGCTTTCTTCCCCCTGTTGCCAGGACTTTACAGCATCTCCAGCATCTTTCTGTCCCCTGGGGTGGCACAACTGAGAGATACATGAGGACAGACCCACTGCCCTGACACTGGTCCTGTTCTGCAGTCTTACCCTTCCTGCAATCAAACCATTATACCATGGGATGGGCACAAAGGACAGATTGTGTCCTACACATAATCCAGCCAGGGACTCCTGCAGTACTTTGGGGTGGTTCATCACGGTGATCCTTAAGTCAAAGCTAAATATCTCCAGTGAATTTGACAGAATTGGCAATTCTAAAGAAGGAATTCATTTGCTACTCACATTAATTTCTATTTGTCCACTGAAACACTGATAGATTCAGCTAACATACAGCCAGCTCTCCATCACCCCATCACCAGCTGGGAACATCTACGGCCTGCAGAGAGTCACATCATGGATGGGGAACGAGTTCAGGTCCACAAGCAGGAAAGCTTTGTTCAAAAAAGAGGTCAAAGCAACATGACCCCCAGGACCAAACAATTGCCCCCATGCAACACTCCCAATCTGCAGGAGGGCCTGCATGTTTGCTGCTTCCAAACTTAGACCCAGAAACAGTAAAACCACCTCAAGCCTCCTGGGCAAGCTGGCATCCCACCAGCCCAAGCTTTGGAGAAATGCCCATCAGTTGCTGAAGGACCAAACATGGTACCAAGGTCTTCCCACTGTCCCTAAACTCAGCAATTGGCAAAAGCCCTGAGAGTTAATGCATTCCTCACCTGGAAGCAAGGCAGTCCTGTCACACACCCAGTCAGACGAACAGACAGGCTCTTCCAAGGGACCTCTGTGGGTGCAAACAGAAAGGTCAGAATCAATGTTTTGCTCATCGTAAAAGCAGAAATTAAATCAAGCTGCCTGTAACACCTCGCCAAGAAAACAGCCCCAAAAGGGCATGTAAGGCCAGCTGCCCTCCTGTACAGAGCAGACCACAGCCTTTTTTCCTCCCCTCTGACAAATCTCATGTATCTGTCCCTGTTTTGACCCATACAGGGGTTTTTCACACTTTGGCAGCACAGACTACATCTGAGCAAGTGTTGGAGTAGCTGAGGTTTATTTGGAAGAGAAGCTACTTGTTTTAAATCACTGCAGAGCTGGTGAAAGGCACTGACGTAAGGGCTGCAGGTAACAAAGTCTCTTTCAAAGCCTGACCAGACGCCCTTCTGCCTCTCAGGCTTAAAGGGCCTCTTCTTCCCAAGCCTCAGCAACCACTCAAGGCCAAGCGTGAGTCACTCCCACAGCATTGGCTTTGCCATGTGAGCATCAAGGAGCACCAAAGCAGAGATGGGATGCATTAAGCACACAGCCATTGTGGAAAAAGAGTCAGGGTGGGACAGCCCAAACCCCATCTCCACTTCCAGCCCTGGTTTCCTTTCTGGGTGCCTCCAAAGACACCCAATTAAAGAGAAAACACAGGGTTTCTTTAAGTTACCACAAGCTTTTTTCAACCAGCAGTCTTTAATACTTCCAGCTTATTGATATCTGAGCTTACTCTGATGTTTTCTATTTCCTTTAATCTCGGTCCTGGTGAAGAAATGAGCAAGTTTTAAAAGTACTAGTGATGATTAGTGAAAGGTCCACTTCGGCATTCCCCAGTTCTCCCAGCCCACCATGCTCCTGGTGTCATCAGGTGACCCCCAGCTGCTCCTAACTGCATCCTCACCTCTATTTTCCTGAGATCAGCCAAGGATCAAAAGTCATTAAAGAGAAAGACACTTTTAGCCAGTTGCATATATTGTTTTTTTAATGAAGCCAGGCTGTAACTCATTAGCCCCACCACCAGCTGCCTTGCTCAGGAGAACCAGGTTTGGCAGGGCAGCAGCTTTGCCCTCCTGGTCTGTGGTGAAGGAAGGGCAGCAGAATTTCAGCAGTTGCTTCAGATCCAAAGCGCAAAAAGCAGAGAAAAATTTGCTCAGAACCTGCCCACACAGACGCTGGATATTCTTTTCATATTTGCCATGACAAAAAATTCACGTTAACATTTTTGCAAGCACTGTAAGCCTGTATCAAGTATCAGCAAAGAGGCAGACAGGTGTCCTGACCACAGAGGAGACAGCATATGCAAACAGTTTGGAATTTATTACTATTATTTTTTAAAGGGAGAAGCAAATCCCAGAGATTTTTCTGTGCATGATACATTTCTGCTCCCTGTTTGATGTTGCTTTCAGACTTCAAATAGCTAACACTAACCTATGGCTCAAGCCTGCTTTAAACAGATGCCCCTTATGTGACCAGACATGAATGCATGGTGAATCACTTATGCCACACACAGTGGGGGTGATGAGCAGTGGTCCATGTCTCCTGACTGCTGCATGGACGCGGATCAGTTGGGGGAAAGGAGTTCCCAGCTCTCGCCACCTCAGAGCCAGATAACTCAGCACAGTGCCTTTGCATTTTTGGAGCTGAGAGCACAAGCTCCAGGTCAACAGCCCAACCACAAGTCAGAGAGAACAACTCAAGCACTGGCATCTTCTGCAAAGAGTGGAGAGAGATACAGAATCTGCATGGGCTGCACTTCCACTCTCTCTTGTCTGCCTTTAGGAGATGCTTAAGAGAACCTGCATTTTGATTAGTAGCCCCAACCAAAGGAATCTGATCTTGATGGTAAGGGAAAGGGAGCAACCCAAAGTTACAGACTTCAGGCTATGTGGGTCCCAGCTCTTCGCTTCTCTGCTGACATTACTGCTTCCAGAAATTAAATCAAAAGCCCACTTAACTTCACAGAGGTTGCAATTTGCATCTAAAGCACTGCCTAAGCCTCTGTTGTAATAAACAAACATAGCTCCACTGAAATCCAAGGAGTTATTCTGAGTTTGGTCTGGTTACAGATCTGCAGACCCATAAACATTACAGCTCATTCAACCTCCAGCTAAGTATCTTCTAATAGAAGACCATTATCTTTGTCAGATGGATTGGGATAACTTGTTTAAAGCACTCTTGAATAATCATTAGGATCATTGGGGTTTGGTGGTTGTATTTTAAGAATAAACCCCAGCAGCTATTAAACACTGGAACAAGGCATGTTAACAGTACACAAACAGAGCTGGAGTGGAAATATAACTATGGCTTGGGATTTTCATTGGGAAATTGGTAAAATGGAGAGAAGAAAGAAAATGCAAAAACTAAACTGAGGCATGCATACACACTGAGAAATCAACCATATTATTTGACAGGCAATGAGTGAAAAAGAAACATAGGAAGCAAAACCATATAATGCTGTCCTCCTTTTGAGCCTTATTAATATTTTGGGTGTAATGCACAGACAAGATGTTGTGCGGCCAAGGAAATACAGATATACTTTGCTGGCTGTCACTATCCTAATAACTGACCTCAGGGTGGACTCCACTCCCTGAAGCCTTCCTCACCTCCTTGTAATAAACCATCCTAGTGGCAAACCTGTGCTGGCTGTGCTCCCCAGGAGCAGAGCAGCACTCCTGACAAGTTTTACAGATCTCTGCCCAGGGATGAACACCATTACAGCCATGCCATGGACACACCATTGTCTTCTTTAAACATCTCATCAAATGAACTGCTTCCCTCCAGCAAAAGGCAACTCCATCTGCTGCAACCAACCTCCTGTTCAGAAGGCTGCTTTGCCACAGCTTTGCTGATAAAGGAGAATTCGGTTTTGTTTGGGTTTTTCACTTCTCCTGACCGAATTATATTGCCAGGAATCAATTAACAGCTAAGCCTAAGACAGGGAGAAATGGAGAAGTCTTGCTTCACATTTTACAGAAAATACACAAACATCCCAAGCCCTGCCATGGGATTCAGGTGCCAATTATAAAAGGACATCAACACCTCACACAAAGTCCCTTTTAGCAGCTCCTCAACCTGCCAGCCTTCTGAAAGGACAGCCCTGACCAGGACAACTCTGGGTCAGCCAGGTACAGGGGCAGCGGGAACATTTGAGCTATTTCCCAATCTGACTTTCATTTTATTCATTTATCACTCAAGCCAGGGAAGTACTCTGATCCACACATGTCCAGACACGGATCTGAAGCCAGCATGTCAGGTCCTGTGCTAAGAGTGTAAGAAGGGTACTGTGTTGCCAGCTCCCATCTCACAGCCTTTGGGCTGCAGCATGGCAGCAGATGGGGGCCACACATCCCAGCTGCTCTTCTGGGCTGGCACATCACCACACTTACAGGTATGGTTGTCACACCCACACAAGTGCCTGCACTGACCACAGCTCTCTCCTGGCTCAAAAGGGAAAGGGCAGGGAGTAACAGAGACACTCCACACACACCCACCATCAGTGTGTGCACAGGGGTGCTGAGAGACAGGTTTATTTAGAGCTCCACAGAGTGCACTCCATCGTAATTCCCTCCTTCTTTTCTAGCCCTGGATGCAGCCTGAAAAATCCATAGCTCCAGACAGCTAGCCCACACACTGCTATTCCAGCTCAGCGGGGAGAGAATGAGCTCAATTTTGCCAGTCAAATTGGAAGGAATAAAAAAAATTTAGTAGTAGTGTTTTGTTAAAATCAAAGAAACACACCCCCATCAAATCAAAGACAAAACAGGAGAAATTATATGGAGAAACGGTCCCTGGTATTGCTTCCATGGCCGAGTTGTTTCCATTTTCAACCAAAGCTTGGGTAGCTCAGGGGCAGGAGAGCCATCACAGTCTGCCAGTGTCATGCAGCATGGCACTGGCCTCCTGCACCAAAGTGCCACTGAACCCTGGCAGCAGCTCATCTGGGAGAGGGTGTTTGGACACACTGCTCATGGCTCCCCAGCCCTGTCTGCTGAGCTGGATCTGCAGGGACAAACATCTGGGATTACAACCACACTCGTTCCTCTTGCACTGCAAATGAGTAGCCACAAGTACACAGGGGCACCCAGCACATGCAGTGCCCCAGAAGGAAGTGGCTGCCAGCCCCTCACCCAAGCCCCTGCCACACACAGTGGGCACGTTTGCTCCCTGCTTGACAAGGACCTTCTTTCCACCAGCCGATGTTGGAGCTTCCCAGAGAGACCAAAGAGAAAGTCAGGCATAGCTCAAATAAGCACCTGGATCTACAAACAACAGATTAAATTCTCAAGCTACAAAACTATGTTTTAGCAAAAGTGCAATTGAACTCCATGTACTTGTTACATTTCTAAATATACTCTGGTTGTCAAGACAACAAAGAGACTGATGGATCTCTAAAGTGTACTGTATCCATTTAATTGTCAGCATTTCAAACTGACTCAAGGAGGGAAAAAAAACTGCTGCGTGATAAGTCTAATTGTCATGGTTACCACTGGCTAACCCCATAATAAAAATATATATATATTCTGGCTAAATGTGCCAAGCCATGTGAGGAGCAGATGGGAGACATTCTCATTACTGCAACAGCCTCCACTGGAAAACTAAACTTGAGGAAAGATGTGAGAGACTTTACAGAGATCTCAGACACAACAGACACCGTGGGCTGCATCTTCCCAGTCGTTTGGCAGCAATTCCTTGGGCTTTTCCGCTGTGCTTATCTGCCCCAAGCGTGTTGGGACAACCCATAGGGCTGGGGCTGCCTCACTTGTGAACATTCTGGTTGGGGATCTCATCTCTCAGTGAAGAAAGCTTGATATGCAAGTTATTACTCCTTAAAAGCCTCTGATGTGCAACCACCAGGGCTTTGCACTCCCACCCTCATCCCCTTGCTCTCATCTCTCCTGCTGGCAATACCCACACCCACAGGAATGGCTGTGCCAGGAGGCTGCTTCAGCCTGGATCTTCTGCTCCCACGCTGTTAACAGCTAAACCAAGGGCTATGTCCAGGCTTGGGGATGAGAAAACAAGTGG